TTCTGCAGATTAAAGTCTGAGGAAATGCTGAGAAATGGACCTGCACTGACCAGCTTCCAGGGAAGCTCTTAAAATATTTCATACCATCATTAGATGTTTCAGTAGGAATCAATGAAGGCATATGTGCCTTATGTTAGCACTGGTGAAGATTATTAACTTCTTTCATGAATATTAAGCAAAATGTATAAAGAGCCAGGAAAAATATTGGAAAGATGTGTCCACTTGGCTCTGTGCAACTCAGTCTTTTGCAAAGCACAGAAACTGCTTCTTGTGGGGATTAACTGATCACTTCCACAGTACACACATTATTTTAAATTCTTTGTGGCTTATTCCTTACATCACTTAGCTTAAGTCCATATGGATTTAAGTATTAGTTGATGCCAAAGCAACACTGCTTTGGATAGACAAGATTGTTTCAAGATTCTAGGATTCTAAAGTGTGTGTGGTTTTTTTTATTTTGTTTTGGTTTGGTTTGGTTTGGTTTTGGTGTGTGTGTGTAGTTAAAAGATGTAGGATTGATCCTGACTTGAAGAAATAACTCAATCTCATTTTTTGGAAAGCATTAGTTTTTGATCTAGTGTTTTGGTACGTACACAACCCATTATATCTACTAAGCTATTCTATCTGTTAGATGTTTCTGTCTTCACAGTGGCCCTTATATGCAAAATTCTTTATGAAATTAAAAATAAACACATCACCTATGCCATAAGGCATGAATTGAAGCTGTTGAAATCAATGTACTTCTATGTAGGAACAACAGTTTGTAGAATAGGGTTTATTGTCAATGTGGCTTATGTTGCTTTAGAAGCATTTTACAAGCTCAAAAAGTCATTGCCAATGCAGAGCAGTTGTTGGTAGAAATGTACCAACAGATGTAAGCAACCACTGAGATCTAACCACAGCCTTGGGTAAATGACCACACATTTTCTACTGAGTGCCCCTGAACACTCTTCAAATTTTTACTATATGGTTGTTCTGATTTTTTTCCTCTTTCAGACTAGAAAACCATACTAATATGTTTCTAAATGCTTTTGCACAATGAAACACATGCATTACACTTTGTGATGACAAAATCTGTCTGCAAGAACAAGTTAATGAATCCAGAGCATTGACAAACACACGTAAACTGCACATGTCACCTTAGTCACTAAAATTTCTTATGATACATTAAATGATAATGATTTCTCATTTCAGTACTATGATGCAAGATCTTCTGTCACAGTATGATCAATTTCAACTTAATTAAAAAAAAATCTGTAACATCCATGTAAACTTTGGCATTCTATGAAATGCTTCTTTTTGTATTTACTTGTATATGCATTGTAAATTAAACCAGACAGGACAGAAAAGAAAAGGGGAAAACAAAAAAAGCCTTACCCTCATGAAATGAAGATGAGTTAGCCATAGCAAAGAGATGTAAATAGGAATAGTTGAATGCAAGATGTGTGGAAAGGAAAGTAAAGACATCACTGAAAACAGGGAAAAAAGAAAACAAAAGAAAAAGTGAGGAGGAATGGGGAATGGTTCCTCTTAAATAATATATTCTGAAGGCTAATTTTCCAATGGCTTTTGTAAAGAGTGTGAAAAAAGTAAATGCATGGACAACATGAATAAGAGCTGCCATTATATCTACAATCAGCAGTGATGTTGCTAAGCAGAATTTTTTCTTGTCAGTGCAGTTTGAAAAATTGTAAACAGTACTGAATTATCATCAAGAAATTTACATGTGAAGTCACAGAGCCTTAGCATGCTCTGCTGAACATGCTAAGGAAACCATGTCATGAGCTAATATCTACATAAAAAAACCGTTTTTATTATATGCAACTCACAGAACATTATTAACAGTATTACACATCACTCAACCTTTCTCAAGCATTTGTGATTTTCCCGATTGGTAAAGAGGGGGGAGAGTGTTTTTACACGGTGTGGGGTTAGACAACACTGATCCACTGGTAGAATGTTACTCAGAAAATAAACAGGAAAAAGCCATGCCAACGGACCTAAACAAAATACAAGTTTTGAATCTGGATTTCCAATTCAGCTCAGCCTATTGCTGCTCAGTTGTTGATGGCCGATTCACTGATTTCCTTGTTGCTGATCACTTGTTTGTTTTTTGAGAGATGGCACATGGAAGAGCCCTGTATCTTCTCCTCTGCCATCACAAAGGTGTCTCATCACAGTAAAACAAAGGAACCAACTTAGAAATCCTTAAAAAGGCTTCAACGAATAAACAACTGCTCTCCATCCAGCATTAGTTTGGTTTGCTTTAATAACCAAAACTGTCTCTCCATTGTTTTCTGTTCCTCTCTCTGCTCTGCAGGAAGGAACAAGAGCTTTAGACTGGCTATAGGACTAAGAAAGTGACAGCCACTACTCAGCTTAGTATCTCTAGTGCAAAGTAGCCAGGAGGTGCTGTGGTATTCATTTTCAGTGCCCAATTTACCAACAGTACTTAGCATAAGCAAAAGAGAGGGTGAGACAACTTGCAAGTAATTGTTGCTTTTCCCTCTGTTCTCCCGAGAGCTCTGAGTGACTGGGAATGGTATTGGACTGATGGAACAATAAAGAGGAGCCCAGTAACCAGAATGGTCATGCATCCAAGCTGCTACAAAGGCCATTTAACTACAATTTTCTTCAAAGGCTACTGCTAAGTCACACCTTGTCTGTCACAAAGGTCCACCCTAACATGTGTAAATCTGGATTTCTGAAAAGACACCAACTGGTAGATTTAATCAAATCCATTTTGACAGGATGGATGAGCCTCAGAGAAGCTGAGATTGTCCTTCCTACAGAGCACATGATATAGGGGCAAAACCAGTAAGATATATCATTGTTAAAATATTATCTGGACCCATACAGCCAGATCCACCAGTGTTTTGGAATACACTGGACAACTCCATTCACACATCCATCACCTTTTCTAATATCTCATGTAGCCACAAGACTTCTCCAGCCTGTTCTTTTTGCAAATAAATTAAACAAAATCACATGCTTACCATAAATCTCTACAATTACATTGCACCATAAACTGCTCTGAACTCCAAACCACTCCTCATAGGAAAATACATTAATCCACTCTGAATTGGTTTTCCTTATTAAGCCCTGATTTATTGCTCTGCCCTCTCTTAAAATGCCTTTTATTTATTCGACAATATTTTACACAAGCTGTCAAAAGCTTCCTGAAAATTTATAACAGTTCTGATCTCTGGATCCCCTTTCAATTCAAACCCATAATTTATTTATTTTTTTTCTTTTAACAAGTTGTCTAACAGGCTAGAATGACATGATTTGCCCTTGTAAATGCCATTCTGGTTTGACCCTATCAAGTTATACTTATTTAAGTATTCACACTATTTTTTCCTTGAGCTCAATAGGTTCTCCATGTAAGTGGTAACAGGAGGCCATCAGCTAAACCCTTTGCAACATGTTATGGGTTCTTGTTGGCTCCTATTCTGCATCTAAAAAAAAAATAACCCAAAACAACCCAAATTCCTACTTCTGCCACCCTCCTCTCCCCCTCCATGTTCTGGAGATGAACAAGAATTTCTATAAATCAGATTTCCTGCCTGACATATTAAGAACAAAACAAAATAAAACCATAACCACTGAAACTTAATAATACAAAACAATCTAAGCTTTTATCCTGATTCCAAAGAAACTAGAATAAGGAGTAAAAAAATTTACCTCCATCACACACAGGTAAGCATATGCTACCTGCACTTATATCTTTCAAATAAGCAGAAGCTTATGTGCTTTGAAGCAAATTTGTAAACATAGTTAAGAAACACTAAATGGTAGAATTTGTCTGCATTTCCATACCATTCCTTTCTAATAATATCTACAATAAAAAGGTTCATGCAATTTATCATGAGCTTCTAGATTTCCACATTTAAGCCAAATGAAAATCTGGGAAAAACATACTACCTGCTACTCCAGAAGAACTGTAGCAACAGCAGAAGCTTTACAAAAAGCAGATATATGTATGCTGGAAAGCTCATAGACCTATGTGAAATGCATTTAGTGTTCTGTCGTTATGTTGCAATTAAAATTCCTTTATAACCTGAAGTTCTGCTTCCAAATCTGAGGAAAAGGCACATTTGGCAGTTGAAAGGATGCTATTGTACAGAAATGCTTTACTAATAAAGCAGTCTGGGGAGACACCACCACACCAAAATGACATTTCATGCCCCGCTGAAGGTAGCAGCGCTTAGGCAGGCAGGATCCGGACTCTGCCTGAGCCAAACGCGGGCTCAGCTGCGAGCGCGCCGAGAGCGACGGCAGCAGCTGCTGGCTCTCGGGGCAGGGCAGAACATGGCTCTGGGGCTTCCCCGCTGCCCCCTGCCCGCCTGGGCCACGCTCTGCAGCACCCACCCAGCCAACACCAGCGCTCCTGCTTGCCTTGCCAGCCTGAGGAGGAAGGAGGATGAGAGAAGACCAAAAAATAACCTGTTGTTGCGCCTTTCCAGGTGACTTCCTGATTAAACGGTTCATGGGTCAGGAACACAAGTTGTTTACAACAGCAATTTAGACTGCTTTTAATTAGTGTATGCAGTAAAATTTAGTCAAATAGACCTGAACTGGGTTTCTGTTCCTTTGTATTGGAAAGTGTAAAGATTACTAACTGCACCAAACCCACAATCTTTTGCAGTATTAAAACTGTGGCAGCACTATTACATCAGTTAAACAAGTATGCCTTATTATTGTTGGCCTTATCACTTGTTTTAGAGTTTTAAACAAAAAGAACAAGAGCCTTCCTATTCAAAATAGCTCACTATTCCATATTTGTTTTAATTTTTTTAAAATAGAAAACCCAAACACAACTATTTTAAGTAAAGTAGAAATGATCCTTTAATCCTGCAATCTTTTAAAATGTCATATAAAAGCACTCACATTCATTGCCAAATCCTCAATTTGACTCTTGAATCATACAAAAGTCACTAAAAAGCAGAAACTTGCACCATAAATTTCTTAGGCAAAGTGTAGAAAGCACTATAACTTACCGATGTCATTGCTTCTTTCAGAGGAGTCTTTCTCTAGAGTGCCGGATACTGTACTGCCCACTAATTCCACTTTTGGACTATCACTCCTGCATTTGGATCAAGAAGAGGAGATGTTTTACTGGGAGTTTTTGTGTGGGTTACAGTAAATTGGTAGCTAACTTGCAATTAATAATGAGAGAGCAAAGTATTCTTCCTTTGCAGCACCAGAGTAGTAGCAATGTCAGCAAGAGCAATCTCTAGCAAGTCGACATGCTGTACGGATTAACCTTATCCCGTTTCTCCTTAACACCTGTCCAAAAAGCCTGTTTTAGACACCGTAGTGTCCGGAATAATTCTTCAGATGTCCACAGCATCTCAACACGAAGGAAACCTAAGGGCAAGGGAACATTCTTCAATATCTTCTTTGTAGTTTTTTCTAATTAATTGGCTTGCACAAACTACAGCAGTGGACTACCTGGAATGCTGCAGAAAGCAAGAGAACCTCAAGCTAGCACTGTGTGTTTCAGCAGTTCCAAGTATTTACTCATAAATGCAACTCCTCCACCATGTTTTTGCACTTTTCTTATGAGACTAGACTATGAATACTATTTCCATAGTCCAAAGAACCAAGATCACCTAATTTGTCAGAAATGTCTTTTGAAAAGTAAAGTGTCAGGAACTTTATACAGAGGGGCTATGTTAAAATCAAACAGAAGATCAAACAAAAGCAACAAAATTATCCCTGCTTTGGAGAACATTCTACCCCACAAGTACTTGAGTTTACTGAAATAATCTATCTACTGAAACAATATAAAAAAACCCAAGAGTGGTAGGCAGATAACTCTGTATTGCACAGATCACTCAAATCTCTGATACTTACTGTGACAATAACTGTTCAGTTAATGCAATATATTGTACTTGCCATCATCAGGTCACTTGACAAATACAATCATTTTTCCACAATAACTATTCCCAGTGTAACACTATAAAAGTTATAATGTATGTAAGGTACCCAACTCACGGATAAAGATATAGATCTGTCCTGAAAAAACCCAGGCAGATATGTACTACACAGTGCAATAATTAGCAATAATTAGCTGTTGACAGTAAAATATGTAGTGAGCTCACAAATCTTGATTTTTTCATTGATCACTGCTTTTGATACCAAAAGTTGATGACAGATGGTCTGAACCTCAGCTCATGGCAGTAGTTTATAAGCAAAACACAAAGTGACTGGAAACACTATTTCAGCCTTCAGGAAGGCTGTGATAAAGAGTTGAAAGTTTTTATTAAAACCCAGAGGAGGTCATAGATTAAGTGAATGTATATACCATTAAACCCTGTGATAGGGTGACCAGTGAACAAAAAAATAGACCATCATATTAATAGCAAACCAGTCCTCCACAGCTCTCAATATGGCAGGCAGTCTGCACCAGGAAGGACACAGAAGTAATTTAACACATGCATAGAAAAATGTATTAATTGGCAAGATCATAAATAAGAGTATTTCCAAGTGATCTACCGGAACAATTAGTTTTCTTAGTTTTTAGGCTCTAACTTTTTCTTATATTGCTAATATACTTGGAAACCTATAAGAAGCAACATAGTTTCTTGGCTAACAGAGCAATGAGCATCTGACTGCATACTCTGTTTTGCACACATATATTTCTCAGCAATCTCACAGCACAATGTGAATTGGAAGCACTTGAGGAAATGTGTGAGTATGGTTTTAGAGAGATTCTTAGAATGCCATGATTTAGGGCTGAAAGTCACAACATTTACCATTTATCTACAAAAGATACCAAGATATATGGCAACAGCCCCACAAGAAAACCCCAATCCTGTTGTCAAAGAATCAACAGGCTTATTATGCCACTCTGCATCCATATTATTGTGAAAGGAATGGATCCTCCCTTCTCATTCACAGTGTCCCTCTCTTGCTTGTGCCCATACAGACAGGCTGTCAGCTTGACCAGACAGATGATCAGCCTGAGAGAAACCCCACACTAATAGAAGTCCCACTGCAAACTGATTAATTGCCATCTGGAGCAAATCCCTGACCCATATGGCTGCGCAGCTGCACAAATGCTGGTGCTAAACATAAGGGAGGCTGTGGGAATGGGGTGCCAGGACAAGGAACCATGTTAGCAGTGGCATGGACATGGATTGCTTTAAACTGATTTTAAAGATGCACCTACTATAGGTGTTTATGGCTTACCTATCCAGGGAATTGACTTACCTATAAATTGTAAATCATGGTATGCCTAAGTAAGCTGTGAAGCCTTTGGAACAAACTGATTCACATGGGTTTTTATCTGTCCTATTGCCCTTGAAGACCTACTCTGCCCCCAGTGAAGGAGGATTATATTTAAATGGAAAAACAATCGCCACCACAAAAAGTCAATGAGATGCAAGCCACTTAACTCAGGACTCAGGACACTTAGCAGCTGCCACGGAAATCTCACACACTCACTCTAACCGCAGCAATTTTCCCCTAATGATCATGTACTGGTTTTGGCTGGGATAGACTCAGTTTTCTTCATAGCTGCTTGCATGGTGCTATGTTTTGGCTTTGTGATGAAAACAGCATAGATAACAGAAGGTGTTTTCATTGTTACTGAGCTGTGCTTGCACAGTCAAGGCCTTTTCTGCTTCTCCTGTTATCCCACCAGGTAGGAGGATGGGGGTGGACAAGGAGTTGGGTGGGGACACAGCTGACCCCAATGGATCAAGGGATGTCCCACACCACATGGTGCCAAACTCAGCACATAGAGGTGAGGGAAGAAGGAGGTGGGGGATGTTTGCAGTTATGGCATTTGTCTTCCCAAATCACCACTGCAGGTGATGAAGCCCAGCTTTCTAGGGGATACCAGAACACCTGCCTGCCCATGGGAAACAGCAACATTCTTTGCTTTGCTTGCACATGCATAATTTGCTTTTCCTGTTTAACTGTCTTTGTCTCCATCCACAAGGTTTTTACTTTTGCCCTTCTGATTCTCACCCCCATCCCACTGTGGGTGAGTGAGCAAGTGTCTGCACGAGGCTCAGCTGCCCACCAGGGTTAAACAGGTGAGCAAAAGTTCTGCTGACTGAATTTTTATTCTAATAGCTTTTTCAGACTTTGGAAATGGATACCAGTAGGTCTTAAAATAACTACTATCTTATTAAACTGAATGGATTTAAAAACAAAACACCTTTATTGAAATAACTGCTTCCACTTGGAATTTTCATTTTTCTTAATTATCCAAGTAATTAAAAGTATTTTCAATTTTTTTCTGTGCTAGACATAGTGAAGTTTGGACTATTAAGAACATAAAAAGGTTTCTGTTTAGGTGTGCCTTTTGCCTTTGATAACATGAAAAATGAAGTATCTTTAAAAATACATGGTTACTTCATACAATTTTGTACTTAGGGAAAAAAAAAGGAAAACAAAAGAGCAGCAAAATAACCTTCCAAAATTCTAAATGCTAAAACTTTATAGCATGTTTACAATATTTCAAGCAAATGATAGAACAAAAGAAGACCTACTCCATTGCATGCCTCACCAGTGAACTGAACACTAGGGTATGTTTTGGTCTTTCCAAGACATCACATTGCTAAATCTGAAGATTGTAGCAAATACTTGTATTTCCAAGTATACCCAGGTGATCAGCAGGTATGGACTGTATTTTTGAGCAAATGGGCAAGCATGTTCAAAGCCAAGTCCAAAAGAAGTTGTGGCAATAGCACCTGGATAGAAGGGTAAGTTCTGAGATGTACAACTAATGCACGTCAGTAAGATGAAACTGGGAGCCCAAGGCAGGTACCTTTTTTTCTTTTTATTTGCCCCAGATTTCTCACTGGTTAAATTTTTTAATTAAAAAAATTCCTCCACACCATATGTGGAGGAATGAATAGAATCAATGACTAGCATTTCACTCCACTCTAACCTGTAATCTATTCTGGTATTTAATTCACCATTACTATAGTAGAATTACAGTTGTTCAATGGCAGCTAATTTTCCTAACAGTACAATAGTAAAAATATTTTCATGCCTGTACTCTAGTTTTTCTGCAAGATGCACAGTTTGCCCATTTTAGGCAAATGTTTTATTCTGGTTTTCATCTAACTCTATTCACTATGCATAAATGAAATATACAGTGCACAACCCACTTGGTGATGACTAAAAGATAGCCACCTAGACTTGATCAGGACTACAGTGAGGCCTTTAATTTCTGCAACCTTTCCTCTAGCAGCGAATAAACAGACTTATGTTGGCAAGTCCAATTTCTCAGTGCTCGTCAAAGACTGTAACCTCCTCTGATAAAAAGCATCATGTAACTACAGAGTGACAACCAACATTAGAAAATAATTACTTGACAGCACTATTCTTCAGTGGCACCAGCTAAAAGAGCTCTGAAGATGTGTATTTTGCTAAAGTTTGATCGAAAATGATCAAAGAAAGCAGACTGAAATCAGGCTGACAGTATTTGAAATGTGCATTGCCTAATGCTATTCCTCAGCACAATCCAAGCTTTTGCACTGACTTAATGCCCGAGCTAAGCTGAAATAATTTGAGGTAAACTAAGAAAGTAAAGATCAGAGTAACATTTTGATGCAAGTATTTCCAATACATTCTGCACTGTTGCAGTAACAGCAGAATTTCATCAGTAGCAACTAACTAGTCAAGAACAATCTAAGACTGCTATTATTGAGAAGATAGTTATGGTCCAGCCAGATGACTGTTTTCTTCTTTCTTGTTGTTCTTTAAATACACTTACTGTGAAATAAATTGGGACATAAACTGCAAAACCTAAATTCTTTAAATGTGTTTTTTTCCACTAATCCCAAAAGCACTGGACAGAAGAAAAGCAATACCTTGCATGAGTCACAGGCACAACTGGTCTTTCTGGTCGTCTTGGGGGCAAGGTGCCAGGTCTGTTCACAGCGTTGGCTTTGGGTGGCCGAGGTTTCTTCGGAGGTATAGCAGGAACTGAAGGCTTCTGCAAGTCTAACTGTTTTTGCTCTCTCTCTGATCTTTCTTTAAATCAATCATTTCCAGAAAAAAGAACAGGGATATTATTAAGTGGAATTCATTTGCGCTCACAAGTCATTCAAAGAAGAGATCTTCAACTGTAGATAGACTGTATACAAAGAAAAACCTTACAATTTTTGTTCTAAATTATTATTTATTTGATATATTTGCCACAGATCAGCTGTTTAACCTTCCTGGCTGTTCTGCCTGGATCTCCTCAACCAAAATACACGTGCAGCATCTTGATGGGAATACTATTTTTTATTTTAGTAACTTACTGGTTTTTGACTATAAAGTACAAGAATGGCAAGAAATTACATACCATATGATACAACCTACCACAAGCAAAACTTATATTAAATTTTAACATGAAACAATATTAATTTAGAAGGTCACAAAAATAATTATGCTGGATATTCTTAACATCCCTTGGACAAACAGAGAAACACTATTTTTGGGAGGGAAAAAAGCATGTTTCAAGTGAACTACAGTTAAGTGAAAATAAAATACAAGCACAAAAATTTAACAAGGTCTAGCAGGATGTAAACCCCTCAGAAAAATCAGACCTATTATTTAGGTTTTAAACTGAGACTTACATGCTGAATTTTTCAGGTTGCTGATGAAAACCTAGATAATTTGCAGAACAGATTATGCATAGTTAGGGAGTGCCACCATGCTAATATCCAATGCCAAACATGCAACGCCTGTGCATGTGTAAAGTGCAATACACATGAATAACTCTTCTAAATAACATGCTCTAAATTCCTAATATAAAACAAACGTGTAAACATGTTTGCCACCTGATTTTTCTTAAGGAAAGGACAAAACTCTCCAATGAACTAAAGTTCTGCTCTCTATATCCTACTATTTCAATACACCACTTCCCTTGACAATGCTGCCTATGATATGCTGTGAATACTACACCTCTGTATACATTGAAGAGGTATTGGGAATGTGACAGGATATTGCTTAATGGGTTCTTAATGAGAACCCATTAATGAGATGATCATGGAATAAATCCCCAGAAACACAATGCACATTAAATTTGGAATAGTCCAGCTACTGACTATTGTTCACAGGCAGTATCCTTTGAGCAGATGCAGTCATTGGGTCCTCAGTAACACTGAAGCTTTTCCAGCACACTGTGTAATTTTTACACATTTAATCCTATGACAATTTATACTGCGTCAGTGTCCAAGAATCTAAATTGTATGAGGGACAGGCTGGGCAGTGTGCCAACACACAGCTCAGAGGACGTTCCTGTGCCACCCCTGCTGCCACATCACATGAGCCATTCCTGCCACTCCCTGGTACTCCTGAAATGTAGGCACTACTCCTACAGCCTCTTCTCAATGTTTAGAAAAGTTACAGATATTTATAGCTCAGGAGAGTAACATATTTAAATTTCCTCTGCTGCCTTAGCAGTCAGCTTTGTAAATCCAAAAATGGAAAGTAAAGGCTTTTATTGCTAAGATAACCATGAGAAGAAGCACACATAACCAAAAGTAAACCTATGTAAAAGAAACAGCTAAAACACTTGCCAGATCACTAAGATGTATATCCAGAAACAGATCTTGGTACAAAGTCTGAAGGTTCTGTCATTAAATTATAACTGCATATTATGCATTTAGTCATGTGCATACACGTGCCTTTTAAAAGGCTGCAAGTTCAAATACTTAAATCCCATAACAAACTTGTTCGTACAATCTAATAGTCCACTTAACATATGAAACTTGGCACAATCTTCAATTAGAGAATAGATGTAACTATTTTCCTGAGACTATTCACCATTCACAAGGAACACAATGACACCATTAAAGGCTTAATTTGCTTGTCCCTGCTCTGTGTGGTACTGTGTCCCATTTCTCGCAATGTTCAAACATGGCTTTGAAGGATTTTTTCATTTCTTTGCTGCCTTGCCTGTGACTTTTGTGGCTATGATAATGGGGTGATTCATAAGCATTAATGACTGTATCTCCACAAAATCCCTTTGTGATGCAGGAAAGCCACCAACCCAGCTTTCAACTAGAGAACCAAAGAAGACAGATGTTAAGAAAAAAGTACACACTAATCTGGGGTATTTTACTTGATTGAGCACCTGGGTTTTACAGAGCACTGGGCTTAATACAGCATTTCATGTATTGAGAGCAAATCTCCCCTGGACCTCAGCTGTGGCTGCAGGTACTCAACAGCTCTGGATGGGTACAATTGAACACCCTGAATTCAGTCCATAAGCAGCAATGAAAGCCTTTCCAAAATGCCTATCATCACAGTCTATCAGAGTGGAAAACAAACATCCAAACAATACACTTAAACAGAGTGGGAAATGAGGATGTGCATTGGTTCTATTTCCCTCATCTCTCTGCAGAGAATAGGCAGGAAAGCACATTTCATACCTTTTTCTTCTGTTCGATTAGGAAGACATTCTGGCCTTTCAGGTGGTATCTTCTTGATTTCATGTTTTCGATCTGTGGTCCCTGTCAAAGACAGAAAAACTTGGAATTCTGACCAAGCCAACGAAAGAGTGACATAAGATTTAATTCTGCAATTTCTTCGGCTTTTTATATTCCCCAATTTGGAAACGTCTTGCTAAAACTGAACATAAATTTATATAAAATATTCACCTGTACCATGACAAAAAAGTAATTGTATATTTATGTCTTTATAATCAAATTCACAGTTTCTGAAGGGTGCAATCCCAGAGAAGACTGACTATTCTATGGGAAAAAAAAAATCTATAACTGCAGATTTAAAAATGTGGACAAATCCTTTATCATTACAGACATAAATGAAGAGCAACTCAACAGTGTGCAAAACCACTAGGAATAAATCAATTAATTGAGCAATGTCAAGAGAATGTGTGGTGGAGCTGAATATGCAGAGGTTATTTTACATTAAATTAACACATCCCTCCCCTTCTTCTCAACTATTAGTACCTGTTCACTTCCACAGATTGGAAGGAGGAGGAGAGCAGTGCTGGCAGCATTCTGCACGACTATTTGCATGACTATTTTCGTTGACAGCTTTTGGCCTGGAGGTGTAAGCCCCAGGCTTCTTTTGCGTCTGTACTAGAGGCCCTGACATACAGACTTCTGTAGCTCCAAGAAATATGAGAACTTGTGGCACCAACAACGGGAAGATTTTGCAAAAATTTCCTGGCACACACAAGATAAAATCTTCTAATCCCCAGGTTATAACAAACACTTTATTGGATATTGGCTTTGCTGCATCGGCTAACCACTAGGTGCTAATGCAATTTCAACTTAGTAGTGTTGAAAACCACTTTAGGTAACACTATTAGCATTTCAATAAAAATTACAGTATTTGAAATCCAAGAAAAGCAGAGAAGACAGGGCAAGGAGCACAAGGCAATTTTTTGTTTCTATCTATTCTATTATATGCAGTTTTCAAGTGCATTTACATTTTCTGAATGTGCTGTTGCAACTCCCTTCTGCAGCTGGTTCCTAGAAATCAGTAGTCATCAGTGGTGATCACCAGCCATTGTTTCTTTACCCAAGGGTGCTGTTGGACAGGCAATAGTACCACATGCATGTCAATAAATGATACTAAATTCTCTTTTATGGTTGGATTTGATAATCTTAAGGGTCTTTTCCAACGGAAATGATTCTATGAAAAAGACTTCACTCCTGAGAGGAGAAGCTGCTGCTCCTAAGCAATTAAAGCCTTTCAAAACACAAGTTATGCAAAGCACAAATCAATGTATCGATAATCTTGCACACATTATTGTTCAAAAAGAAAGACACATAAGTCTATATCTAATTACAGTATGATTAACAGTCATCATTAACACACAGAGGGACATTCTCAGGCCAAGTCTAGAACAATGAGCCTACAATCACGGAGGAGCTCTCAGACTCGGTTGCTCTTCCTACTTGGATTATGACCCCCCCCAAATTAATCATCACCCAGGCAGGCACCATAGCCTTGCCTTAGCTCCCAGGCAACAGTCACCTTCAAGGACACTTTGGGAAGCTCTGTATCAGCTCCCAGAGGAACTCAAGAGGATTCCTACCCTTCGGTCTGGACTCAGTTGTGTTGCTTACCACAGCTACCCAGTGAAATGATTTTCAATTACTACTTCATTAAGGAGCTTGTGCTCCTAAATTTGGCTCTCCAGTTTTCACCTTGCTTTGTAAAGTGCAGCACAGATGGCCCTGGCTATTTACTGCTGTGGAGATTATAAATTTCTATCTCTACTATAATATAGACACCTCGTTACACATATGCCATTTGTACTACAAGTTCTAATTCTCTGCTTTGATTTTATGCTCTGCATCAGAAGATGCTGACATTTAAATATTTGGCCTGCAACTGACAGTTTTAAATTTAGTCAACACACTGTGACTGGTCAAATATGCAGAAGCATTATTGAAGTTGTTACCAACAGTAAGAGCTGATGTGGAGATGTGGCAACCCCAGTATAATCTCAGTGAAGAAATAGTTTGACAAAGCAGAGGAAGGCAGGATGTTAATAAACACAGGGTGATTTTTCAGCTCTGGAGATGTATCAGAAGAAACTCTTGTGCCTGATCACCCAGGAGTTGTCAAAGAATGAGTATGAAAAGAGAGAACTGCAATAGTCTTGGCTTTCACATAAACTTAGAAGGTCTTAATCAGATTGTCTGCATCCTTTTTACAACCATTTTTCCTTCTCAAAATGGGCACATTTCAGAAGGAAAAATGCTATGGTGACACAGTTAAAGCATTGTATGCAAGCAGGTACCTATTAAAAGTCTTATTCTCTAATTATATCAGTATAAATTGAAATAAATATAAAGTTTTATAGATTTTTTACAAAACACATCAGGCTTTAACATCAGTGGTCTCTAAGACATCGTTGTTATACAACCACCACTAGATGGCAAAGTCATACTTCTCTCTCTGGATCATTTTACTGATTTAAAATCAAATTTATGTTTCCTTGAGTCTCAAGAGTGAAGAACAAACCACGGATGTCAATAAGAAACAAAAACATTTATGGTCATGATTCTGTAGTCAAAGAAGTGCATGATAAATTCAAACTGCTTAAATTATAACATTAAATTAAATTGTATATTGGTGTTAAGTTGCATTTCTACTAACAACTTAAGTCTGTAGGAGAGGAAAATTTACTTTTTAAAGCACCAAAAGCTGGAACATGCCACAGTAACAAGAAAACTATCTGGAGATTGGACATATTTGTTTTGGTTTTTAATGTGTGCCTGCAGTGGGGGAAGCAGTAGTGCTGCTGCAGTTTTTACAAACAGACTGGGCTTAAGGGATTCCAGCCACAGTTATGTTTCCATTGCAACTGCAATACAAATGACAACTCTGAGAACATCCCCCATCTTGTGATTTGTATTTTTACATTAATGGAACTGGAATTTGGTTTCCAAGTTCAGGACTGTCAAGTGCGTAGACTCTTTAACTGTTCCTAACTTTCATTATAAAAATAAATCATGCAGCCACTTTTGAAAATTAATATGGAGAGGTCCTTTTAAAATTACAAATAGAAGTATGCTCAGCTCTCAGTATCTACACACAATTCAGTATAACATATGAATCTGTTTGGAAAACAGAATCAGCTCCTTAATACTTTTTCAACATGTTTATCTACACAACTATTCAGGATAACTCCTTTCAGTTTCATACTTAGAGCTATAAAAGTATTGAAAACCAACAATCTATGGCCTATAACCTGGAGCAGCCAGTCAGATCCAGCATTCATGCAGATCTGCAAGACTTAGACTGCAGCTCTAAGTCAGAGGAGGCCACTCTATGACACTATTTTATAGATATTCTATAAAACTCTGTGTCTCTAGAATAAATCAGATCTATAGTGAATGCAGTTTCCTCCTGCAGGTATTATCAAGCTCCACATACTGTGTCTGTACTGCAAGGACATGCACACAATCAACTTCAGTCAGGGAACAAAAGCAAAATTTGAAAAACTGAAGTATCACACTGATGTAATATGATTAAGGGGCAAAACAGATTCTTTTGAAATGTTATAGGTGATTGACTACAATACATTTAAAGCCCACCATAGTCTTTCAGGGGTACTAACTATTGCATTTGATTGTGATTTATTAGTTGCTGTCTAGACATCTGCTTGTCAATTTTGATACAGGTGAATGCTATATAGATTTAAATACGCTTTATTTAGACTGAGATGTGCTCACTGACATGTGCTCTAAAAATCAACTGCACTTTACCTGATCCTTGTTTGATGACGGGAGCTGATGGTGGTGGTGGTTTCTTCGGTCTCTAAAATTTAATAACAGAAGAAAACAGGTTGCTTCAAAAGGCCTGTAAATCTCATTCATACAGAGGTTGGAGTTAATCATAAATTGCTTAACATTAATAATTACAAGTCATGAGACTACAGATATGTTACATATTTCTCCTGAAATAATTTAAATGAATTTGAGGAGAGAAAATAGCATTGGCAAATAGAAGATAATTTTTATATTTGCAATTGAAATGTCCTGCTGAGGGGTTAAAAAAGTTCACTTTACGTACCTAAAGACTGGAGGAATACATGACCTTTGATCTAATGAAGAAGTATATTTCTTTAAAATTTAAATTTGTAAATATTTACCCATTTAGGAAAAAAAAAACAAACACAAAGAAACTCCAAGATACATGTGGCAAAACCAGAGGTATTTTCAGACCCATAAATGAACCAAAAGGCAGAACTCAGGAAATACAGTAAAGGTTACTCTTTATTCACTTACTAGGATATATTTCGAGTTCCAATTGTGAAAGATCAGAATTTCAGATGTTTGGTGAAATGAAATTAATTATTCTGACTAATCTGTCCTTTTTATACTTTCACCCTCTCTGTTAGGATGATTTTCCTAATAGATCTGTAATGGTAAGACTGAGAAACATGACCACAAACAGTTCTGGCAGTGCCAGAATAATTTCTCTTCACCTGCAGGCTGGGGGGCTGATGGCTTTTCTTTTGTGCTGCTGTGTGTGAATGCATGCACAGCTCACTGGCAGTCACCACAAGTATGTTGGAATGAGTACAAAACCAAATGGAGCATCATGCTAGATCAAATGACACACTTTATCTCTCACTTTGAAACTCCCTCAACAAACGATCATGATTCTTGTGAAGAAATTCCAAGGAAAAAAAAACAAAACATTTTTTTCCCCATATGTTCATCCTTTTTTTCTGAGAAGGACCTTCTTTACTTTGCTACAGATTAATCACAATCACTTTCACCATATTGCTGGCTATGTAGCAATGCATACTGTCTTGTGGAACAAATGTGAAATAAAATGATTTTTCCAGGTATGCACAGCTTTGCCAAACTTCAATCAGCCACTTAAGCTAGTATTTTCCCTCAAACTCTTATTGATCCCTGTGCTCCCCCCAGTTATTTTCTATCTGCCAAAGCTTTTGAGAAAGATCAATAGCTTTGTTCACTTGCAGTAATTAGTTCAGTGTCTGCCCTAGAACTCTCAGATCTTGGTCTGAGTGTTGAAAGAGAGCAGGTTTGCTGTGAAAGCTGAGTGCTTGCCATATACCCTTCCAAGGGATCTCTCTCAAATCTAGCAAATGTATTCATCTCTGCAGGGAAAAAAAAAAAAAAAAAGCCAGCTTTTGCCCAGACAGGGTAAGCTTCATATTCTCAAAGTTGTCATCCAGCAACCTTCAAGTTTCTCCTATCACCTTACCCTGAGCAGATCACCTCCCATCATCAACATGAGAAAGCTGTGGCCAAGAACTTAGGAGATCAGAATGATCTTCTACAGCCTGGCTGCCATGGGCCATTGTCCACAAACACTGAGTCCCTTACACTCTCAGAGAAACTTCTACAAGAATTTGGGCAACAGGGTTTAAGGTTTAAATGCAGAAAAGTGAAGAAAAATTTGGAATGGGAACAAGACAGAGACAATGACTGTCCTGTGATAGACATTAGGAGTCCTGTTGATAATGGCTGTGGAGTGAAATAGTTGATGCTGAGGAGTCAGCAGTACAAAACAGGCACTTGGGGTTTTACTGGAGAGGGGTGTGAGACTGATCCCATTGACTGACCATCCATCAGCAGCTGGAATACAAGAGATGCACTCCCTTAGCACATCTTTTGGCTTAGTTCTCTCCTGTAAGGGGTCTAAGGTATGTGTCTTCCAAAGCATAACAAGTGCAGGTGGACAAGTGACAGATTCACTACAGTCACTCCTAATTAAAACCAAAGCACTTATCTAGAGAGGCACAAAGGAGAAAGGGTCCTATGGTTCATTTGACAAAGTGACTTTAACTGAAAGCTGAAAAGGGAAATAAGATTGATTCAAAAGGACAGACCCAAGGTCAGAAAGGGTATAGTGTGAAGGAGCCTTAAAAGACTCCTTAGGGGAACGTGGAGGAGCAAGAAGGATTTACAAGGGTCTGTGGCTGGATGAGATAACGGAGAAGGTGATGGAGACAGTCTAGAAATTAAGCCTGGACTCAGGTAGTGAGGTCAGGGGAAAATCCTGTAATTGAGACCACCTGAGAGGTGGAGATTGGGACTAGGCAGTGAATAGAAAAGGCCTGGAACAAATAGGCATGTGTGGAAAGAGTCAGACTTGGAAAATTGTGGACTGGACAAGGAGATGAGAAGAAATCCCAAGCTTTTGTTGAACAGACAGAAGAACTACTGCAACAAATACTTTCAGACCATGGGATGGAATCCAAGGTTTCTGGATCACATCAGAAAATACCTGACAAAATCACTGGTAAAGTATTTATCTCCTTCCCTTTTAGCACTGATTCAAGCAAAGACAGATGGTCTATAGCCCTACCAGTTACTTACTCAAGTGGCCAGTTCTGTGGCATTTCAAAAATTAATAAAATTTTATTCTCCACAGTTAGAGCAAACCTAGCTGTAATTTCCAAGTGTCTGCATATCTAATTTACTTTAAGAGTTATATTCAACTGTACTCTAAAAATCACTTTAAAGAGATATAATTTTTAAGTTCAAAAAGACTGAATAATTACATCACAAAAAATGGATACCACTAAGGATTTTTTTCTTCTATAATAGGTTCACTATGTCTTCAGGTTTTTGATTTCTGCCTCTTCTAGAAATCACCTTCATTCATTTTTAGGCCTCAAGCCAGGAGATGCACTTTGCTGTGGAATTGCCTTTTCATCTTCCACAGTTTTTGCTGCTCTTCTCCTTTCCTTTTCAATAATTATCATGTTAGCCTCTGTGAGTTGTTTAATAGTTGCTTTATTAAGCTTTCCAAGTTATTTAATTTTTGCCTTTGGCATCTACTTTTATTGCCAAAGAGTGAAGCTGGGCGTCAGTAAGTTTCAGTTTTATCACAGAAGACTTACACTGTCACTGTGAAATACTCATCAAAAGCCTGATTGCAAGCTTGTAATAGCCCACTGATGACTCAGAAGGTTGCTAAAAATGGAATGGTCTTTTGGGGGAAGTAATCCATTACTTTATTCCAGGAAACCAAAAGATTTCTAAATATTGTCTGGCAAATAACAATGCCATCTTTTTCAAATAAATAGGAGGTGAAGAAAATTCTGCATAGCTTTTATACCTTCTTTTTTAGTAATTCTGAGAGGTAAAGAAATTTACCTCTGACAAATTTACCTCTGAGATACCAAAAGCTTATTATTTTTCAAATTTCACAGTTAAAATCTCACCCTGATTGTTCTGGAACAGTGCTTGGCTGCTGTCCCATCAGCATGCAGGTAATACTCTTAACTTTTCATATTCTACCACAAAAACAATGGAGAAGATTAAAGAATTCTGGATATCATTGCATCACATGACTCAGTCCTGGGACCTCTAATTCTTCTCTCTCTCAAACTTGTACGACAGAGGGCTTTCAGAGCAGCATAGTGCAGGTGGGGCAACTGGATGGGCAAATCAAGGAAACTCTGTAACATGACTTTGAGTGCCACACGTTCCTTTTATGGATGCTTTCTAACCCAGAATTTTTTTCTTTTATGTTTTTATGTTATTAGATGAGAAGTAAAACTCTGTCAGAATCACATATGTGAAAAAGGATTTCTTTCAGCTCTACTTTAATTCTGAATTTTCAACTGAAAATGAAAGAATATATTGCTTACCTCTTTTTCAAAATCTGAAGGGAGTAGCTTGACAAAGTTATCTGGAAAGACACCTCGTCTGCCATTGAGTTCTCCTTCCCACCAACCCACATCAATGCAATCCTACAAAACAGTAAAATAAAATTAAAACCACAGTGTGCTGGTGCACTGAACAGATTTTTGAGCTGAAGTACTCTCTTGCATAATGTCCTGCCTGTTTTCTAGAATATGACAATTTGCTGGAGTGCCAGGTTAACAGGGTAATCCATCAGACAAAAACTTCAATAACCACCCTGCATTCCATTATCACATGGAGCAGCTAGGAAAGAACAATGAACATGCTGTAAGAGCTCAAGACCTTGTCTGTGTCTATAACAAAATGCTACTTCACCATTTGATCTATTAAACAAGTCAGCATTTTGATAATGCATGACCCTATGTCTCTCTGACTTCATTCTGCAGAAAGACAATAACTTCATTAAACATCATACATCAGGAGATAAAAAAGCTCCCTTATTTCCCATACTTTCAAAAAATTCTTGACACACTGGAATTATTAAATTTCATCTCACTCCAATTAATAAGGCATAATGCACTTGATTAATATCTGGCATCACCTTCTTTTTCTGCAGCATTTCTAAGCAGTACAATGCCGAGTGTATAGCAAAACAATGTACAAATAAATAGGCGAATAAGTAACATCAGTGTGTCTAACTGATTTAAAAAAAAAACCCAGTTGTTTTTGTTATGAATAATAACAGTAACAGAAGCCACAACATTTTAGAGAAGGTAGAAATAGTTCCCTAAGTCCTCAGTGTTCCATATTCACTTTTTTGTGTCTGTTTGCTACATAGAACACGTCCTGTTGAGATTTTCCACATTCTGTTTCCCTGAAAGCTCAAACTGAAACAGCTCAGCTGTTTTCCAAAACACAATTACAGGAAAGTCACCCATTGTCTGCTTAGTCTTAAAACTACTTCAGCCAATTTTTAAAGTTGGCTCAACATCAAGTTGGCCTACTTTTCCTGATTTCCATAAAATCTTTTATTTCAGCTGCTAAATGGATGACAGAACAATGCAGGTTAACTTAGTGAGGTGTACTTAATACCAAGTCTTAAAATTATTGTTCACAATGACTGTGCTTATTCGTATTCTTCTGTAAGTTACAGTAGACAAGCAATGGATGATATCTGAGAGAAACCAGACTAGCATTAAAGATCATTGCTTTTATGCTTTAGGGGTGCTTTTTTGTTAATTTTTAATTCTAAAATCTTTATTAGCTTATTTATGACTCCTGATCACCTGAGTATGTGCCAACTAAACACAGCAGCTGAAGAGCCTGGTTTCTTACATCATGTCTATTTTGGTGCATTTGGCTTTTCCCCCCTCCTACCTCAGTATTTTTTCTGATGTAATGCAGACATAAAACAATCATTCCATTCTTTTTTTGATAATCTTTTCTCATGCCTAATCTTTGCTGTTCTGTATTTTCCCTTCTCTTTAGCAGGGTGGTCCTCCACCAGGGAGGACATTTTCTAGGCTTTCCCACACTTATTTAGGAGGCATTTCCCAGCTCTGTAAGACCTTTGTTAGTGACCAGAGCTGATTCGTGACCAGCTGATGCTTCCAAAACATCTGCTGAGTACCTACAGGGCTGTCAAGGACTCCATGGAGGCCAGTCATGCATGGCATGAGCAGGCACTGTGCAGGGTTCTCCTCTGGCTGCAGAGCCAGCACCCCTCATTCCTGGTGTGAAGACTCCCTCCCACTTGGCTCTGTCTACTTGTACAGCCTAATAATCAGGGCACTCAACTGTTCTATCACATGGTGTGTTTTATAATGCCCTCCACCCCCTACGCCGCTAATCTGAAATTGCCTAAATATTTATGACCCAATTTAGATTTTGAAAAATATTAAGAATAATTCAAGCATCTACAGATGAAAAGCTTGTGCTTAAACTGATTGCACAGCTTAGCACTAGCTAATAATCCTGACTGAACAGCACAAGACATCACATATATGCTTCTTAGGTTAGGTTTTTTATGCTCTTAGGGAACAGAAATATTACTCCTGCTTCTTCGCTTCATTAACATGTGATTTTTTTCCTTTTTAAAGCTCATTTGTTTTCATGAAGCTGCTATTTGTGTCACACATTCATAAATCCCAAACAGCTGCAGGTTTGCTTTTTTTCCCTCTCCAGCTTGTCACGCAGGCTTACGCAGCCAATCACCATGGTGGATTTCCATACAGTAAGTAAATCTCTTTAGGCAGTTTCTCTTTAATATTCTCATTTACTTCACTTGCAAGAGGAGGCTTATGGGTCACTGAGAAAGAAATAAAGATATTTCAGAAGTTAAAAGCTACTGATTAAATTTGGTGAAGAATCTCCATGGTGCTGGCAGACAGAGCAGCACACAAGCACACCTGAGTTACAGCTGCACAAGCCACCACGAGTGCTGACAAAGGGCAGAGCTATGAAGCACAATCAAGGCAGCGTGATGAAAACAATGTGTCTGCTTGTGAGCATTGAGCAAAAAACACTCCCAAGTCTTCCAGATTGCCATCAGCCCTGCAATCTTAACCATATTGTCTTTTTTTAACACATCTTGTGTTCATGTGTTCAAGTACAGCAAAATGGCTAGAATTTCAAAATGCAAATTTTATAGAAAAGCTGTCAAGCAATCCAGTATCAAGATTGATAAATCTTTATTAATAACCGAAAATTTATTAACAAACCAAATTGATCTCTGCTTTATCTCTATGTTATTCTGTCAGACTCATATAACAACTTAAACAAAAATCAGATGATGCAATATCCCCCAAAGTCCTATAAAGAAAATGTAACACAAGTAGTAGAAATGCATTTTGGTTTCCTTTAAGAAAAAAGCCCTCACAAAATATTTACAAAACTGAAGGAGTAAAATGTGGCCAAAAAGATACTCCAGGTACTGAAATTCATCAAGTTATGTGGTAGCTGCATCAACATATAGCTACTGCAAAAATCAGCTCCTACCAAGCTTAATTTGGAGACTATACCCACGTTCTCATTGCAGTGACAGTGCTATCAAAGATCTCAGAGAAATTCACTGCTGGTTCACATTGCCAAGCCTACTTTGACTGTTCAAGTAGAGGCAGATTCATGAAACAGAGAAATTAAAAATCTTGAGGGAGATTTTGGTATTTTCTCATTAAAATACAAATCTTGGTTTTATCCTCATTTCTAGTGAAGTAAAATCATAAAGCAGTTTAGGATGAAAATGACCTCTAGCATTACTGAATTCATTTTTTTTTTTGTCCCAGCACTGCCAAGTCCACCTCCTAAATCATATCCCTGAGTGCCACATCTACATGTCTTCTGAATACCTCCAGGATGGAGATTCAACCACTTCCCTGGGCAGCCTGTTCCAGTGCTTGACATCTTTGGTGACAAAACTGTTCCTAGCATCTAATCTAAAACTCCTCTGGCACAGATCAAGGCCTATCACCTGTAACTTGGGATAGCTTCAGTAGGTGGACTATACCAGGGCATCTGGACAGGTGGGACAGACACAGAAGCTCCTGCTGTGCTGGGCAGGAGCTCGCTGCCATTGCCCTTGTCCCTTCAGTCCCTTCAGTCCCTTCAGTCCCTTCAGTCCCTTCAGTCCCTTCAGCCAGGACAGCGAGGATAGGGAATCCTCCCTGCCATGCATCCTGTCTGCCCATGGGGCCTGGGTGTGATTCCAGCTGTCACATCCATTCAGCAACCTTTCTAATTCCAAGCTCAGCAGTTCCCAAATAAAGCATAAAAAACTGAATACACTGGTTTTACTAGCAACATCCATTTTGTGCTAAATATTTGGTCAAAAATTGGACAAAACATAGAAAAGTGTTGAGGAATTTTTGAGATGTTTAAGCTTTATAAGAAATAAATATTACACAAAATATAAGGTACCAAAATGTCAGCCTGGGCTGGAACACTTACATAAGTCAGAGGAAAGGGTAAATCTGGGAGAAATGGAAACTACTAGAAAAATAAGAATATAGCTACCTTTTGCCAAGAATTATAAGAGTATACACAAGTGCACTAAAAACCATCAGTCCTTTTCTTGATGTGAAGAATAAGAAGAACTATTCTTCGTGGAATTAGCAGTGAGACATGCAAGCTGTGAATAAAACTGGAAGAGAGAATCATCTGGAGAAAACAGACTTTTTTTCCGAGACGGGAACATCAAAAAAGAAAACAAAATACAAACCCAAATCAATGGTAAAACAAGAAAGGTAAAAACACAGTTCTACTCTGAAACTTATGCCTGTGGTGACTAGAAGAGTAGGGACAGAGGAGAGGGGGAAGAGAGAGATACATGAGTAGAGAGACCAGCCAAAAGCCATGCAGAGATATTTGGCAAAGAAAGTTTCCATTCAGAGCACCAAATTTATCACACTGTTACTGAATGGAAGTGAAATACAGTGAGATATATAAGTAGGGCTGACAGCATAAAATCAAGGCTCAGTCACCTTTAAGCAACTGCAGTGATCCTGCAGCCACTCTCATACTGATGAAGAAAAATCATAAAACAGTAGAGTCAGTCATGCTTTCTCCTCTTCTGGGTGAAAGAATAATGACATTGCTTGGTCTCTTATGCACACAGTATCCTACACTAAAAGGTTTCTTAGCAGCAGAACTACTGCTCTGTATTAGAGCAAACATTGTGCTGTTCCTTCCCTTGGTGCTCTCAATCTAACAGGAAAAAAGCAGGAGATGGTGGAGATTGAAGAAAAAGCCCAGCATAAAGTACCTTATGCTCTGCAGTCTGACAAATACTCCACTCTATGCTCAGAAGCAGCTGCCCCCAGACAGAGTCCACTGACACCACACTGCCCATGGCACCTCCCCAGTGCAGGAGCCCGGCTGCCACCAGCCAAGAACACAAACTTCCCTTTGGTCAAACACCATCGCTGGTCTTCTCTGATGGTAAAAGAGGTGACAATGGAGCTGGATAAAGCAGAGCTGTCAGTCCCCTTTAGTACCTGATACCACACTGAAGACAATGAAATTAAGACTCAAGTTCATGCCTGGCAGCTGACCTGTCTCTCATGCCAAGCTGTGTCCCAGCTACAAGCTTGGTGGTGACTGATTACTCCAC